CATTAAACACAGGTTGTTTTCCAATCGGCTTGGGGTGTTTTCCCTTCAATTTATTATAAATTGTTCTCCTCGGAATATTGTATGTCGCCTCTGCTTTCCTATGTGAAAGATGTCCAGTTCTAACTTCTTCCAGACATGCTTCAAGATCATTCTTTACTATAATCACTGTATCTTCGCGCTCCAAGTCTTCTTTTGTGCGTTCTGGGCATCTCTAAAAAAAAATCTTATTGGAATGAAATACTTTGCGCCACAATTGGAAAAACAAGGCAATATAAATTTAAATAGATGCGAGGGATACGCGCCAGTTATCGTGTGGCGCAAAGTATCCCCATTTTTTCTATATTTTGACACTTCAAAGAATTATTTTTTTTTAAAATGTTTTCAGATTGTTATGAAAAGAAAATATTGGTGGTAGTTTCTAAATAATACATCAAAAATATAATAAAAAATTATTTACCTGTTCTATATCAATAGATGTACACGATATAACTAGATTTTAGCAGAGCGTATGTACAGGCGGGTGATCTATTATAAATGTCACCCCCTTCTAACTTTTTCATTTGACACTTTTGACAAAAGTGTCAAATACAAAAGTTTCATGAAATTGTTGAAAGTTTTCAACTAAGTCAGTTTTAGTCATACAGGGTGCGTCAAAAAAGTGCAGCAGTGTGAAGTTATATTTTTTCAAATGGAACACCCTGTATATTATGTGCTTATTTGTTAGCCACTTTTAAGCTGATTTCAACGATATATGGTTTGATATGTCTATCTTCAATAGTTATAAAAAAAAACTTGAAATCCCCTTTCAAGGTTTCATATTGAAAAACGAAAAATGATACCATTTAAGTTGGAGAATTTTTTTTATAAACAGTTTATTGTTCAAATTTTATTCATTAATATACAAGGTGAAACATTATAGTAAATCCAGATGTCTAAGTTATTATTATTATTTAAAAAAAAAATAACATGCGAGAGATCTAGGAAGGAATTTTCGCGTTTTTTCCTATAACTATTGGAGATAAACCGAGAAATAAACATATCAAACCATATCGTTGAAATCAGGTTAAAAGGGGCCTAACAAATAAGCGCATAATATACAGGGTGTTCTATTTAAAAAAAAACATAACTTCACACTGCTGCACTTTTTTAACGCACCCTGTATGCCTAAAACTGACTTAAAGTTCATTCCACGGAACGAGATATTGGCCGAGTTCGTTTTTGTCATCTTTTTCGTCGATTTCCTCCGAAATTTTGACAGGCACGTGATTTGTAACTTGAAATTGTCTTATCCAGTCACGTGCCTGTCAAAATTTCGGAGCAAATCGACGAAAAAGATGACAAAAACGAACTCGGCCAATGAAAGTAAACAAACTTTGACAGGTAAGTTGAATTTTATTGGCTAGAAAAAGATTATACTCCGCCCTAGGCAGGACCGTCTTAGGTTGTTTTGTATTTCTCTTCTCTGAATATATTTCCGAACAAATTCTTCAGCGGAATCTGTTGAACTTGATATTGTTTTAATCTAAATTGCTCACTAATTAACAATAATTCACCAAACACTATTTAAATAAATGTTGAATACTAGGAAATACAACATTAAACTTATTGACTCATCTGACTACCTGACAATAATAGATGTCATCAGTTAATTCATATTTTTTGCAGTCCTTCTCTGAATTTTTAAGCTCCGCCTGTTTGTTTACCTCTGCTATCTCGATTCGTGGAATGAACTTTAGTTAAAAACTTTTGACAATTTCTAAAAACTTTTGTATTTGACACTTCTGTCTGTGAATTTGTGAAAACTGATTTAGAATTTAGGGACAGAAAATATGTGTGTTGCTCTCAATGGTTGCTCTATCACAAACCGATGATATGATATTTTCACGTCTATACGCCAAAAAAGTTTTATAAAATAAGGCCAGGGCCGATCTCAGGGTATCGGCCGTCCGCGTGCAAAGAGCAATTGCGCCGCCTCATAGGGATATAGCACCCCTACGTAGGTGCCGGTGCTGGTAGCCCGCCGCAGGCGCCGCCGAAGGCAGATTTTTCTTGCGAAAAGTTTTTGATATTCTTCAAACTACCAGAAAACAGACCAAAAAAATGATATTTATTAAAAATCCTTGTACCTTTTCAAAAATTGACAAATGGACGTAAAATCGAATCCTGAACCTCTTTTCTCTCTACAATTTTTCGATTTCTGGTCATCTAATCCCACTTTTTACATATTTAATGCGAACTTTTTAAATTTCCCGCCATAACTGTGGTTACATGACATGTGTCTCAGTGCTTTTTTTGTTGATAGGTATGCTGAATTGATCCCACGTAACATCCTTTTTGATATCTTAATAATAACATATTTTCCCATTTGTTGCAAACTTTTTGGCGGTCACTGTATATTATATCTAATCAAAGAATTGAATGTTGATGGTCTCAAATGAGACGGCTTGGTAGAAATTGGTGGATGGTGGATCAATTATTTTAAAGATCTGAGAGCCAGAGAACACGGGCCTCTAAAATGATGGTTATCTGTTTCATGTAGAATATTATTTAAGGTTTTGTTATGCAGTTTTTTTTTGTTAAAAATCACATCGCAAATGCAAATAAAAACCATCGAACCGGAGGCATTCCAACGACCTGTCAAAACTATTCCAAAATGGCGTTCGTGGCGGAAGTTCCTTATTTCCTATATGACAGTACACAATTTAAAGCTTTTTAAAGTGGATTGTGTGGTTGTTTTGTGACTAAACCCTATTTGTTTTTTCATTTTATTGACAGTCATTAGGCTTTTTTCTAATTAAAAATGCCACAAAGGTGTCTTGTAGTTGATTTTAGAAGGCGTTTCAACAAGGATGATGTCAGGTTGTTTTCAGTGCCCAACCTTTCAAATTTTTCCAATTAAAACGTAAAAATTATTCAGTACCACTGTTCTTGCATCTAAAACAAAGCCATACTCGAAATACTTGTGAGAAGCCAAGCTTTTATAGGCCTTCATTTGCTCATTGCTGTAAAAACTAGGTCAAAATGTAAACAAATGTCAACTAGACATTTTTTCAAACTTAACGTTCGCCCACATCCCGATTTTCCTGCACTAAAGTCTTCGAATATTCACTCTGCATCTCAAAAAGTATATTATAACAAAATAAACTGTAATTAGCTCGAAAATATTTCAAATAAACTCAAGATAAACAAACAAACGTCAAATTTTCCACGCTCGCCATATTGAAAAATCACGTGGTTTGGAGAGCCTAATTCAACAATTCTGAAGGATAACGGACTTTAACGTAGTAAATCATAAATTCCGAGTTGTGACGTAGAAAATCAGAAATTCCGAGTTGTGACGTCAGAACTATGAACTAAGAACTTGGAAGACAGATTGCACGACCGGGCTTCCGTACTGTATGTGCCACCGTTTCCTTTTTAAGTATCTCGTCGAAGTCTATTTCATTGAGGACTGATCTGAAAAGCGTTTTTTTTTTGTCGTGATGAAGGCGTGGGTTCAGCACTCAGTTCGGCAAGCAAACTCATATCTTCGTCACCACTACTGTTTTCCGCTTCAATGCAGATACTTTCCCCTGCAGGAACGCCATTAATGTTCACTTTCGCGCCAAAACCCCTTAGCAGTTCTTGAACGCTCCAACTCAATAGCTTTGTTTTGGTTCGAAATTTGGAACGGTTCTGGGATTGCGCAGAACTCCTTGCGCACAATAAATAATACAGGACTGTTTTGAGGCAATTTTCAGCCTCGAATATTTATCGGTAAATACCGTGGTTATTCTTTTGGTTGACAACTTTGACAGCCAAGTGTGACGTCATAGCCCCTCACCATTCAAGAATCATAACCCAAGGAACTAGCCGCTGAAATAATTTGGTTATAGCAGTGTAGGGTTATATTTATTATTCTTATTTGTTTTTTCGTTTCAACAATAGTTTTTTGTTTAGGAACAAAAAATGGAGCTAATCTCTCGTTAGTCTCGTTTATCGAAGAGATTTTCTTTGGGGATGATCTAAACCTCGATCTAAATACGGTGAATTGCAGTGAGTGAGTGAATGTATACTTCTTTCATTGTGCCAGAGGCTACAACGCAACTGCAAAATCACAAAACACCAATACAGATTCCAAAAATAATAACAATACTATCAAAATGCTGTAACCAAAAGATTAACCCAAGTCCAAAGCTGGGTTATAATCGGTTATAAGTGGTGAATACCAAAAGCCAATCAGCTGATATGTGACGTCACGACTTCCCCTACTTTGGTTAAAACCGCGATGGCGGAAATGCATTGGTTATAACCAAAAGGCTGAAAATCGCCTTTGATACTAGTTCTGTACCGTTCTAGAACAATCCCAGAATTGTTCTTAAATAGTTCTAGATAAACCAAAACACTGTCAAAACAGTTCGATTATGATTCATAATATGCGCATGTGCAGAATGATTCCGAACTAGATCTGAGTGAAACAAAAACAAAGCTAAAGAGTAATCTATGGAGGCATATGCAACCATGAATACACCGGAGCGTTTGGTTGTTTCATAACACTGAATCTCTCTGGAAAATATTTATGAACTTTTTTCTCAAGTGGCGTAATGTATCCCCTTATGGCGCAAAATAACCCTATTTTACGGTACTGTTAATAAGAAACAAATTAAATTGCACTTGTTTATAAACAGAAGTAGAACAGTTTCAGGTCTATCTGATCCGATTAAGCCAATCAAAAGCTGTTCTTGGAAAAAAAAACTACATCACTCATCAGCTAGTGATCGGGTTAACCAGATCAGCGTTTCCTTTCCGAAAGGCCTAATTAGATTGCAGAAGCTCCGATTGATTTTTCCAAGTCTGGCAACAGTGTAAACGAAAACACCAACCTTAGATCTCGATTGTTTTTCTTCTTGATAGGCCATCGGACCAATCAGAAGACTCATAAACAAAGTTCTAGCGCGTGATTGGTTGCCGCTTTGGAAGTTCCAAGGACGTTCACTCGTCAGTCGTTTTGTGCATTTCATATACGGGAAGTCGAAGTGGAGGTGTTTTGAAGAGCGCGTCCGAATAGAAAAATCGAAGGAAATTACAAATTTCCATCGGGGAAAGTGATGATTTATGCAGGAAACTCCAATACCGAGGTAAGGACAAGTTTCCAGCCAGTGTCATATTTGTTAAAGCTCGAAAATCTTCATTTGTTTGTGTGCTTGCCATTTGTTTGTTTGATGCTTTGAACAGCTGATTTTCGAATGGAAATTTATCTTTATAAGAATTCTGAACTGTTTTGTTTTGTTTTGGTTTGTTAGGTGATAACAGTGTGTAGTTAATGTTACAGTTTGTTGCACTATTAACGCGTAATTGATTATGCAGTTAAACGATTAAAATCACCATCAACAAAATCAATTTCTTTGTTCTCCTGCTATCTAAAGATGTCGGCCGTTTATGGAGACCAACATTTATTTATTACCCTATGCTTAAAAGCAACGTTAGTTATTGTTATTATCTTGACGCAATAACTCAATCTTATATTGACGTTATAATTTTGTAGACCCTAGATAATAATAATGCTTTTATTTATTTATTTATCTGATTGTTTTCATAATGTTTATAGCCTCTCTTGCTTGCTTTTTATCAATAATTTAAAGTGCACTAGCTCATTTTGTATGACTCGCCACTAGCACCTTTTTATTTGTTTTAATTTCCTTTTTTACTATTATTGGTACTCTTGTGTATTTTTAGGATTCCTGCAGCGGTCTGATGCAGAAAAATCAATACTTCTAATTTTTCTTTGTTTAATTTTGAATGGAGTGCATTTTACCTCTCTAGTTGGAAGTTTTTTTTGAGGATTGTGGATGGCTACCTCCCTCCAGTTTTGTAGGTAACTTTTATTAGATTGGCAACTAACAGTAACTCTTAGAGTAGTATCATCATCACTTCATAATTAGTGCTTATTAATAAGGGCTTTTGTTGTCAATTAAGGACCATTATTTATCATCATTCCCCAAGGAATTTGGGTTTTAATTTGGCAACAATTTGGGTGTCTCTAAGTTAAGGACAGGGCCTTTGATATTTGCTGGAAATTGAATCAGAATCATTTAGAAACAAGTAGGTAACACATGAAACAGTGTGTCCCGCTTAAGGACTGACCACCCTTCTAAAATTTTTATTTTTTAACTGATTCAATTGACGTTTTCAATTAAAAGAGATGAACGATAAGTATGAAAATATGAAAACATTCATTTTCCCGCCAAAATTTGCTTGCTTGTCAATGTCAATGTGTATTGGGTGTTTAGCAATCCCCTCATTTTTATTCGAATCCGTGACTTCACCAATGAGTTAGCTATCTTTGTTAAGTGAATGGAAAATGATAATGACCGACATAGAATGATGGATCCATCGGTAAAATTTTATAATAAAAACACAGGGTTTGAAATTGGAAAGAAAATGTGGGAAAAGTCACTGCTTCATTCGCAGAACTTCGCTTTGAAGCCGGGGTGGATTATTTTGGAAGCAAACAGTTTCTGAAAACTAAACTTGAACATGGATTACTTTGTATACTTGATGAGCCGTGGATTTCCCTTTCTTTTGCGAGTATCCTTTCTGCATTCTGATTTTGTGTATCCAAGTTTTGACAAATATAGGATTTGATGGAAACTTATGGAAAAACACATCCGCCAGTGAATAGGAATAAATAGGAATTCGTTTTATGTATAGGCACACTACACACAATCACCATTGTTAAGAAAAAACCTTTAAAAACCCGAGGAAATAATAGTTTCTTTCAAAAGTCTTGTCTACAAACCACTGTCAACGGCTGTCAACCATTGTTTTCATACTCTTTTGGCGTCTGACAGTTTGATGCCAGAGAGAGAGGCTTTTAAATTGAAAAGGTCAATTCAATTTTTTTTATCTTATAGCTATTCGAATTTGGCACTTATTAGGCTTATAATTTTATTTCTGCAGTTCTACTGGTGTACAGGGTGTCCACATTTATAGGCTCAAATTTCAATAAGTACTATTAAGGATTTTTTTTAGAAAAAATCTGATAGCAGATTCTTGTTTAAAATGGTCTAAAACCTAAATGTATTAATTTTTGTTTCAATACGATACAGGGCGATGACAACAAATTTTCACAATTTAAAGAATCCAACCACAAAAATGTTATATTTTGAAACATTCTTACTACAAATTTTGGATAAGGATGCTCTAAAACTATTTTGTATCAAGTTTTGTTGTTCTCAAGGCCTCAAAATATGAAATTTTTCTGGTTTGGTCCATTAAATTTTATTGGAACAAAAATTAGTACATTAGGATTTTAGACCATTCTAAACAAGAATCTGCTATCAGATTTTTTCTAAAAAAATCCCTAATATGTAGTACTTATTGAAATTTGAGCCCATAAATGTGGACACCCTGTAAACCAGTGCAGCCGAAGAAATAAAATTATGAGCCTAAAAGTGCCAAATTTGAATAGCTTCAAGACAAAACAAAATAATTGAATCGGTTGAAAAATAAAAATTTTAGAAGGGTGGTCAGTCCTTAAGCGGGACACACTGTACATAATTTAATACCTACTGAGGTATCAATAATTATATGCTTTTCACTTATTATTGGCGTGGCATTATCCATGGAAATTTGGCAGGTTGACCCTCGTATAATAATGACAGTATATGTCAAATTCCAGACAAATTTAAGTGTGGTTTACATAATTTTGTAAGTGCTGCGGTATTAAAATTTTCTGGCCTATATGGCAAATCAAATTTGACACATTTTTCAATGCATTTTTCAATAATGCTATATAATAAACGGTACCTAACTATTTTGCGTACCTGCAAAATCTAATGACATTTTTTAAAATTCGGCATTGTCAAATTTCTTTCGTACATATTAAGATGCCGAAAATGATCTCAGAAGAAAAAAAAGGGAAATATTAAAATGTCATGGTTATTTTAAAGAAAATAAACCAGAGGCTCTCCAGGGAACAATTGAAGCCCAACTTGCAGATATATTTGAGGTAGGTATAACTTAAATGATAGATGTGAAGCCATTTCTCACCCAACCAACATTTTCCTTAAATTTTAGTTGAGAACCAGGACTATTCAAAGAATTTTGACTGGACAATATACAATCAAAAAACCTTTAGGCCGACCGAAAAAGACAGAGACTATTATGGACCGAATGTTTAAAGAAGATTTACAACGATAAATTTGGAAATATAATTCTAAAAATGGATATTTTACATTACATATATAACTGACATACGCAAAAGAAAATTTGGAATTTAAGGGAGGGCAAACAAGTTTATATAAAATTTTAAAATCTATGGGATATAAATTTAAAGCAGTAAATGGACGCAAAATTTTATGCGAGCAGAAACATGTTCTTGCTGCCAAAATTACATTTTTGCGGAAATACCTCCAATGTAAACATTCAAACGAAAATATCAGATTCGTGTACCTATTTAGATGAAACTTGGATCTACCAAAACTGATCTCAAGTTCATCGATGGATACACGAATCTGATATGAAAAGCAACCCATCTAAAATTAAGTCAGAGGGGAAACGTTTTACTATTTATCATGCGGGGAGTAAGTAGTCTTGGGTGCGATTTTTTTCTAGATTCAAGAAACAATGACAGAGACTACCACAATACAAAATACAAAATATTTTATAGATACCATGAACGCGGACCAAAAATGGGTCGTTGATCAACTAATTCCTGCATTGAATATATTTGAAGAGAAATGTGTAATAATCATGGACAACGCTCCATATCATTCAGAGCGGAAGGATAAACCACCTTCATTCTCTTCGAAGAAAGACAAAATGAAGGAATGGTTGGTTAAACATAACGTAGACTTCGACACAAAAATGACCAAAAAACAACTATGGGACCCAACTCAACCATTTCGGAATAGACCAAAACAATACAAAATTGGCCTTATGTAAAAATTGTCGAGATCTTACCCACCCTCCCATGCCTTACAACCCTTTCAAAAAGATAAGGCTTTGTTTCAATCGATCCTGCAAGGGAAGATATTTGGAAAGAGAGGACCAGGAAGAAGAAGAACATCGTGACGGAAAAATCTCAGGGACCAAACCCGAAAAAAAAAGTTACTGCAAAAACATATTTATGCTATTGAGCTTACTGTTATGCTTACGTTTAATTAATAAATTGAATAATTTTACTATTTGAATTTACTCAGATATTTTACTCATTCTGGCAACTCGGCTTTCTGTTTCATAACCCTGAAATTTGAAAAATATTTTTCCTACGAGCGTGCGCAAAATAGTACTTTTCCACAGGCATTACGGTTCTCAAAGTTGCACTTTTCCGCACTCAGTGCGGATACAGGCCTTATCCGCACTGAATGCCGAAAAGTAAAAATAATTGTCAAGCAACAATAAGTGCACCTGTCGACGTTGACACATGATGACAAATTTTTCCTCTGTTTCTATATCAGCCAACATCTATACAAACACCAAATTTAATTAACTTTGACGCATTGTCAGATTTGTTCTCTATTGATATGCAAGAATCTACAAACTTTTACCGCACCGTGCGGGAAAACTCATTTTCCGCACGCATATCAGTGCGGAAAATCGATTTTTCCGCACGGCTGTAGGAAAAATATTGTACCTAACGCTAGGCGTCGTTCGGTGAACGGCAGCCGCGTACGGAAAAATTCATTTTCCGCACTTGTTAGGTAAATAGCTATTGTCATCAAATGTCATTATTATAGGAGGGTCAACCTGTCAAATTTCCATGGATAATGCTACGCCAATAATAAGTGAAAAGCATATAAATGGATTAGGATGCTTATGAATTGGAAAACAATAATTATAATTATGTCTTATATCAATGTCCAATCAAAAATTATTAACTAAAACATTTCCAACTAAACCTAAAATTCAAAGCAACCCAAATGAATTTTAGAAATTTGCTAAAAATAAAATGACACAGATTCTTTACCAAATAATAAATAATATGAGTTTTGGCGACTGTTGTAAGCATTATTCATCAATCATCAACCACTCAAGAAATCACTAAGTAATTTGGTTGCTACATTTTTTAGTCAGGTATTCACCATCAATGATTCACCGGCTGATAATGAAAATGCGCAGCTGCTTTTTCAGATTAACTTCATAACTCGGTTTAATCGGTTTCAGTATTTACTCTACAATATATTAGGCCAACATTGATAGTGCCTTAGTACTCTTTTCAAATGAGACCAATTTTGATCAGTTACTTTATCTTGATAGTGAGAACAAAAGTTTACTGAATAACAAATATCGGGTCTACTTCCCAACATCAAATACATAAGGCAACCGACCAACTCATGCAAAGGTTTTTCTGTCTTTTTCTTTTTTCCATCACCAAATTCAAATTTTAATTTTGGATCAATAGGTATGATTGAACTATTACATTCATCCATTCTAATTTTATTTAACACATTTTTAGTATAATTTTACTGATCTATTGTTAACACTCCCTTATCTCTATCATAATTAATATGAAGACCCAAAAAAGTTCATGTTTTCCTTTATTGAAATTTTCTCATTAATTTATATTTTATATTCCTTGTGTTGGAAATATATAAATCTCTTCTAATAATCTGTTCAAAAATGCAGTCTTAACATCTAATTGTAAGAAGTGAAACTTATATTGATTTCCAGTCATGAGTAATATGTCACTCCTACTCATTATGTCCATAGGACAGCACTTTACTTGCTCTAAGAATGGTTATCATTTTCGCAACAGGTGAGTATCAATCATCATCCATTTTTTTGCTATCTTAGGAAAACCCTCTCACAACTAACCTAGCTTTAAATTTGTCAGAATCATTTTTCTCCAAACTTTTATAAGTGAAAAC